CTCTTGTTGAACAAGCCAAAGAAAATCTTGAAAATGCAAAGTGGGATATTGTGGATACATGTGGCTTCCCAATTGAAAAGGTTGAGAGAATGTTTGGTAGTATGGATGTGAAGTTACTCACCCATTCAAAAGCTCATAATACATGGACACACTTTGTTTATGAAAAGAGAAAAGACTTTGCAGGTAAGAAATGATGCAAAATGATATATGGAGAGGTCGTACAGTATTAGATAATCAATATACTAATGTCTGAAATAAAAGCCAAATATGATGTTCATAATCCAGATGTAACAAAATCTCAACAAAATAATAAGGAAAAGACAGCTTGGGTTAATAAAGAAGTTGCAAGAGCTTACAATGCAGTGAAGGCAGATAAAAATGAATTCAAGGCACTGGAAGATCGAACAAAATCTTATAATAAGGCAAACGGGATGTCTGGCAAAGTTAATGATATGACAGAGAAGCAGAAAAAGATGGTGGCAGAAGATACGATTCATATTTTACGCAAAAACGTTCAGCGTGTCAAGGAGTTGACAGGACTTGAATCACTAGTCATATTTGGTGCTCCACAATATTGCAGCAGTTGGAAACTACATCGAATTGGAACAGGTAAGTACTATTTATAATATTAGGTGTATTATATTGATATGTGTATATGTACATATACATTTTAGATACTGGCGTACAATTTCTTGATGAAATGAATGCAAAGAGCAACTCTGATAGTAACTTTTATGCATTGCAAGAAAGATTTGATCAGTTTTGCAAACCCCCAGTTTTTGGTACATCTGGGTTAAGCAATAAAAGAGCACATATGTATAATTATCCATAAATAGGAAATGATGGTATTATTCTAACACATGTTTCATTTTAGGCACGTCTCAATAAACCGTCATCTTGGTTGATATTTTGATTATCAATATATTTTCTTTACATCCTTTCACCTTTTTATTTATTTTGTATTTTCATGATGAAGTTAGTTCAGTAATAACAAATTTTATATTTTTAATCTTGAATTATATATCTAGCAAGTGATGATAAACTGTTTTAAAGTTCCAGATCAATGTTCTTGTTTTTGCTTCTATAAATAAGTATATACGTGCTTTGCAGTAAAGACGTCCGTAGCGTCTTTGTAGACCAGAACTGTATTGATAGATAGATGCAATATTACAATATTATGAAAAATAGGAAAGACGGTTTTAGATAATGCTTTTTTTTCCTTTACTTTAAATAAAGATATTAAATACAACTACATACAACGGTTTTGTGATCTATTTTTGTTTGGTGTTTGAATTTCTATTAATATATTTTTTATGATACATTGTAAAGCAATCACACCATAATCATTCTAAATTGTAAATCACTACTATGTTATTTACCTAGTGATATGCCATCAACGTATTAAAGATATTTCCTATTATAAAATTACACTCCTATGTTTCGATTTAAATCTTTATAATGTTACTTAGTAACAAAGGCTATTAAAGTACTACTTAAGGTTATATATAGAACCTTATTTTATTATATTTTACTTTTTATTTACTGACACACATACAAGAAGTAGATCCGTGAACAGTCTGTGGGGTATTATATACATAGTTGATAACTGAGATTCTGAAGATAGTGTGATAAGTTATATGTTTTCACATTATAGTTTGTCATATTGATAGAACATAAACATCAAAATCCAAGAGAGTAGCTAATAAAGCAATTTTTATGAAAATGAATAGTTTCATACGGATAACGCACCACGGCAAAAAATAAAGTGAAAAAATATTACTTTCTGTGAATTTTTTTTATATGAATTATTTATGAAAACGGCAAATTTATATTTTTTTCAGAGAAAAAAAATTAAATTTTGTTCAAAGGTTTTCCAAGTTGATTCAAAAATAATCAGAGAAAATCATTTTAAATCACAGAAAAAAAAACAAAAAAAAATTCATGGAAAATAATAGAAAATAATCGTAAATTCATGGAAAATCATGGAAAATCATGTAAAACCATATAAAACCATATAAAATCATGTAAAGTCATATAAAGTCATATAAAGTCATATAAAATCATATAAAATCATGTAAAGTTATATAAAATTATGTAAAGTCATGTAAAACCATATAAAATCATATAAAATCATGTAAAGTCATATAAAGTCATATAAAATCATATAAAATCAAACTATATTAAATGAAAACAACATATAATAATATTAATTGTTTACTGACAATTAAAAGCTTTGAATAATAATAATGTCATTATTATTTTAATTATGTGTTCTTCCTTTGTTTTGATATTGGTATACTATGTACTACTACTACATATAATACGAGAACTTAAATATTTTTTCTATTTCTTCACGTGAACTTCCTCAAAACATATCTCGAAACTTTGAAACTGCAAAAAAAAATGAACAACAATAACAATAACATGAGCTTTACAAGAAACCAAGAATCAGTTTTCGCCTATATTAATGATGAAGGGGTTCCTAGAGCTAATGAAATCTCAGCTGCAGCTTTTCATGACAGCGCTCGGGTTTATGACAGGTAAAGGATCAAGTGCTTATTATCAATAAAAGTATGATTCAATTTTACTGACCTGTGTAATAGTGCTCAACTCAATGATGTCTTGACCCACTTACACGATGGCCGCCCTACAATCGCAAATATATACACTGAGACTATGCATACAGCAAACCTTGCTTATAGTGATTCTCCTGCAATGCCATCTATTGTAATGGACAGCGATGATTTTATGTCAGTCCAGTATGGTAACAATACTATGCAGATCTCAAAGCTCCAGTCAAGTGTACCAGAAATGCTGAGGGACTATAGGGAAAAACTAGAAAAGGATGTGCTTCTTGGTTTTTCATTAGCTGTACCTTTTGAGGAGCGCTTTTCTGAATTCTTGGACAACACAACTTCGGAAGATCCAAGTACCGCTTTTTTCACTCTCCCGTCAAACCCAAGTGCAAATAAGGAGTATGAGACTGCGCTCTTGCAGCACATTACGCTTCAAGGATCAGGTGAACATTTCAGCCCATACTTTTTTGTGGCTTTTTTTCAAGCCACTTATGACCTTTTTCGCATTAATTGATATAATACCTATGTGTTATAAAATATTTAAAATATATATGGTCTAAGTGGTTAACACTCTAGCTATATGATAGCCCCTCCCAATGGAGGCGCGAGTTCGAATCTGGGCCTTTCTTTAATTTTTTATATATTTTTATTTTTTGAATAACTTTTTATCTATTGGTGATAGAAAGACATATTTAGTACCAATTGAAAGCTGTTTTTTTGTAGTATATTTTAATAATTAAAAGAATCAAAAAGCTTTAGAAATGAGCTCAAAATGATAACCTACGGAGTAAGAAAAAATTTAATCCTTTTTTATTCTTTTTCTTTACTCAGGGATCTGACTCTGGTCTATTTCTTAAACTATATATGGAAAATAAAAATATTTTACTCAGCTATAACTCAGCCAGAAAATATTTTATATAAATAGAGTAAAAAAAACTTATTTCACACTGTTTACATCTTTCTCTTCTTTTTTTTACCTATTAACTATGTCAACTCATCCTACTTTTCAAAATTTTGATCCTTCTACTATTCAACGTACTTTGGAACAAGTTCAACTCTTACCTGGTATTGTATCTCTTTGGGAACCTAGGCCTTTATCTACTGATTCTGGTATAAGAACAAGGTTATTTCAAGAATTTGTAGAAGCTGTTAGTTTTTCGGAGGATTTACCACCTGATCAATGGATTCCTTTTCAATATGAATGGGCAGCAAAATATTACTTACTTCTTTGTGGAGTATTTTATGTTGGTGATCTTTATTGTCGTAATACTAATTGTCCTCGATTTGAGCATTCTAGTGCACTTCCAATGAAGTTTAACTTTCTTTCTGGTGGTTGGCGGTGCCGTCATTGTAGTACTCGTCGTACTCTATTAGCTGATACTATTTTTAGTGAAAGAAATATTAAGCCTCATTTGATTCTTAGAGCTTTTTATTTCTTTCTCCACAATGTTCCATATGGGTCAATTGCTGCAATTCTTAGTATTTCAGAAAAATCCACTTATCTCTTAATGGATGATTTTAAGCAATTATTATTAGAGGATGCTGAAATAGTATGTAGTGGTAAGTTTCTCTACTTTTTTTTAAAGATATTTTATTTGAAAAAGATAAATAATTTATTAAATATTAAATGCTTTTTTAGATGAGAAGATTGGTGGACCTGGAATTGTTGTTGAAATTGACGAATCAAAATTCGGAAAAAGAAAATATAACCATGGTCACTTGGTAGAAGGTCAATGGGTACTAGGTGGTATAGAAAGGACAGAAGAACGCCGAATTTTCCTTGTTTCAGTAGAAAGAAGAGATGCTACTACCTTGCTTTCTGTTATTCGGGATAAAGTTGCCCCTGGATCTATTATTTATACTGATTGTTGGGCAGCTTATGGTGGTATACCATCACTAGTTGATGATAATGGTCAACCCTTAGATTTACAATATTTTACAGTCAATCATAGCCTGCATTTCCGTGACCCTATTACTAGAGTACATACTAATACTATTGAGGGTAAGTTTTCTTTTTATTTAAATAAATTAAAAGTATAAATATCTAATCTTTATATTATATATAGGTACTTGGAATGGCATTAAGGTCTCCCTCTTTCCCAAGGGATATTCCAAAAAAAATGTTAATGCAAGTTTAAATGCATTTATTTGGAAACGAAAGTTTAAGGGAAAACGATGGGGTAGAATAGTCACTATTCTAAAGACCACATATTTTCCTCTTGATTATCCAAGGGGTAATTTCATTGATATTGAAAATTAAAAATAATAAAAATATTTCCTTTACTTTTTTTTTATAAAATTTAAAATGCTTCAAAATCTAATTTTAGTGTACAGAAAAATGCACAAATATTGAAAGTATATAAAAATATGTTTTTTGAAATTTATAGGTCACCTTAAGCATAATTATAACCTAATTTGTATATAAGTCTACACCGGGAGTCGAACTAGGGGCTCTGGAGTGCATGTCCGACATGATAACCAGTTAGACCATGGCGACTTGGAAGATTTTCCCACGCTCCTGAAGAGTCGGTAATATAAACGTACCACGTCACAGAGCAGTCATAAAAACAGTCACAAAGGGAAAAGCAGTCACTGGGCTGAAATGTTCATATTAGCCAATCAAGTCTACTGTGAAAGGCGCTAAAAGATGTTTATTCTGGTATCAAGAGCGCATCATGCTCGTCCAATACTATTACAAGGTTCGCTCACGATCCAACGCTGACAGGTATGTTGCTCGTTTTTCAACTAAGGGTCTTAGTGACATCTTCTTGCAATAACTTGTCTTTGTACGTCCATTTAAAAGGTACTGTTTTTAATAAAGCTTCTATTATAAAAGGGAGTGAGTGTGTTAATGCTATAAAATGGGAATTTGTCTAACCAGTGATATAAATAAACTTATAGACTCGCATAAGCACTTACCCAATGTCTTCCAAGGTATTCAAACATACCAGAATTTTTTGTTCGTTATTAATGGCACAGTAGTTACAAGCAAAAAACTGAGCCAGGCTTTATACCAGTTAGACATTTCTGTTTTCTTTCTTTAAAAAAAAGATCTCTATTTTTTTTAGTATTTAGTTTTCTTACTGTGGTAAAATATAGCTTTCTACAAAAGTATACTAGCGTTGGCTTCGGCCTGCAAGCATATAGGCATATCACCACATTCTTTATGAGGCATCATATCAAGCATGCATCTAATTATTTCAGTCTACCACTGAGATAAATGACCATCCTGATACTGAAGAAGACCTCAACGAACAACAACAAACAAACAAATAATGTTAATGCAGATATGTTTGATCTGCAAGCGGCCTCATAGTAGTTCCGTGGCAGGGCTCATTTACGCACATTCCTCTGCAGATTTTCGATTTCTGACACCTGAATCAGTGCACGAATTTGATTTGTGTCACGCCAATGGCAACACTACTTGGTAATGTTTCTATATTTAAAAGAACGCATTTAACACATCTAATTATAGTATACTAATATAATATGGAAATATGGAAATTAGATATTGATAATTTTAATAATCACTCAAATACTAATAGCAGCCGCAATACCACCTTATCCATACAATCACAACTCACCACTCTCACTCCGCATCACATTCATCATTATTACCTGCTCATTTACAAGACCTTGTGTCTCAATTTGTTGAACGCATGATCGTCCAAGCAGACAAACGAGCTAATGTTACGCCGCACATTAGCTACAAATGTAAGTATAATTACATATCGAAATATTGTTCAATAAAAATACTAACACACTGAAAATTTATTTATCATTCTATGTACAACAGCAATAGAAAGTCGGCATTTAAATGCTTTACGTTTATTATATGGGGAACAGGCATCATTCACCAGTAATGAACAAGCACTCGCCATACCAGTAATCTTAGATGGTCTTAATGACCTTCTGATTGTTATGCCAACTGGATCTGGAAAAGTGCTTTTCACTTACCGGCTATACTTGAGCCAAATTTCCTGACTATTGTTGTTGTGCCTCTTGTTGCTCTCACAGAAGACCTCATTAGGCGTTTACAACAGCAACATATCAGTGTTTCCAAGTGGGAAGGTATGTATTTTTATAAATTGAATGCCTTAATTAAGAAGACTACTAAATTATAATGTTTCTGTTTTCATTATTTATAGCTCGATCCCCAACAAATCCCCAGGCATCAATTCTACTTGTTCCTGTAGAGGCTGTTGCAACTGGTCCATTTGTGGAATATGTAGAACAACAGAGAGCTCGTTTACGACAGGTTTGTTGTTGATGAGTATCACCTTGCTTTAATATAGCAGAGCTTTTGTCTCTCCATGTTAAAGCTCTGTGCACTCAGAAGTGCCCTGTCCCATTGTTGTTGTTAACAGCAACAATGCCGCCATGTATGGAAGACAAAGCCAGGATCTTCTTCAGCTCCAATTTTGCCGTGATACGTACACAATGTACTACACACGCAAATTTGGAATACAATATCAAACAACTCTTTGCGCCACCCACCATTGAGCATCTGGCCTTGATGGCGTCTCAATATATCAAAAATAATTTAGAAAATGGCAAAGTAATAATATTTTGCAGAGCCATCAACACTGTAACTGCTCTTCATCAAGAACTACAATTAGTAGGTGATTTTTCAGTACATTTATATCATGCGCAACAAGCCCAGAAGAAAAAAGCACCAACTTTTCAAACGGGTTAAACAACTCGTCCAAACATAATATAATGGTCGCAACGTCTGCCTTTGGGATTAGTATTGATTGTCTGTATAGTCTTTTGGACTATGCTCAGCAGACCGGCCGTGCTGGTAGAGACGGAAGTAAAAGCAAATGCATACTTTACTTCCATAAAGAAGAAGAAATAAAATGTTAGAGCGCATGAAAGTTCAAAACTCAAAGAAGAACTGATTAATGATGCGACATTGATGTTTGATTTTTGTGTTGTAAATATATAGTTTTTTTACATTGCTTTATTTTTTATTATGTATTAGCATGCTAATATTTTTCAATCTAGGCCCATGTTTGTCGTCATTATAGACTTCAAACATATCTTGATGGGACCCCGTGTGCCTCTTGCATTGTGGTAAAAGAATACTCAAAATGCGATTATTGTTCAAAGTTGGAAGTCGATGGATCCAATACTAGGAACAATATAAATATAAACAGCAGTGAACCAGTTCAGGCTGTAAGTAAAGAAAGAGAAAAAATACAAAAAAATTATGATATCATAACAATAATTTATGTATGCTGACACCTAATATTAATATATTATTACAACAGTCAACGTTACCCCAAGCTAGTATCTCAGTAGTTGTAGGATATACGAATGCCCAACAAGTACACCAACAGGTTCGAGATATAAATATCTATATTCCTGAAGCGCTCGAAAAGTTCAATACAGTTGGCAAGTGCCCAATATGCATGATCTATGGAAACCAGCAATGTAATTCTGTAAATATTAAATTTTGTCCAACTGTTCGTCAGAGGTGTTTACGTTGCTTTTCCATAGACCATGGTCAAAGAAACTGTCCAGTAAAATACAAGTATGTATTACTAAAATAATTCCAAAAGCATATATAGAAGAAGCTATACTTTTACTGATCATCTCACTTGATAACATCAATTTAGACCAGGCAGTGCATGCTTTTTTTGCGTCCTACCAAGTGCACATTCCCTTGGGCACCAGAGAAAAAACTGCAAGCCCGAGTATTGCACAATACCTTTTGTATGTTGGGCAATCTGGCGTAATTGCGGCAAAAGAATGTTCAAAAATCTCTTGGGTGATATTGGTATGCCACCAATGATAACTACTGATCAAGAGTATGCTGATTTTTTACTTGCCATTGATGAAAATAGACTTAACAATAGTCTACACTTATTTCTTGAATTTCATTCTGTTTTCTAGAATGCGTCCATATCTCTTCATACATCAACCTTTTTTTTTACGCTATTTGATACTCTTCCTTCCTCATTTCTTCAACCATTGTTCTTCTTACCTGCCATAATGTACTTACTGTTACTACCTTTTTTTCACATTATCACCAATATTAGTAATAGTATTAGTATCTGCTATTATTATTATTGTTATTATTTTATCACTATTAGTATTGTTCTTTTTATCACCTGATCCGTCCATAAATTCTCAATGTAGTATAACTGTCATTCTCACAATTTGATCGATTCTCACAATTTGATTGGATCATGCTTTCTCATCTTTGTGCCCAGTATTTCCCTCACCACAATCCATTTTCTTCAGTTCTCTTCTACTTTTAAGTTCTATTTTTCCTAAATTTATCTTGTTGTCTTTTAAATAAATTATATTTCACATATAATCTTCTTATTTGATTTTCTTTTTGTAATTTTATTAAGACTTCACTTTTTTTTTGCATTCGAACATACCATTCTTTAATATTTGATGAGCTCCCACACACCGTTTTCTATAATTATATTAAGTTAATTATGTATAACCTTTCACCATGGGCAACTTGTGCAGATATCACAGATTTATCGCAGATATCGAAGTTTATGATTCAAATTTAAAACAGAGATTCCTTATTTGGGATTCTTATTTAAGACATTCGTGTAACTTAGCTAGACCATTAAAAGCTATTGTATATTGTATATTTATAGATTATTTTTATTAAAAAAGAACATTAACGATTGGATGGGGGAGCTCTTGCTTTTCCCTTTTTAGGTCGATGTGATTGGGTGGGGGAGGTGGATGTGGGGTCAAAGTGCACTTTATACACTCAAGTTAAATTATCCTCTACAAAGTGGAATATACAATATAAAATTTTGATACTCCGTCTACTATAACTAGAGATATGTGGCTTTTTAATGCATTTTATTGTAAGGTCGTACAATGCTTCAATCACAAAATATAGACGTTTAAAAATTGTTATTCATTTTTATTATAACATCTATTATGAAAAAAATATTATATTTTCTCTATTTAACAAATATTTTACTATGCTAAGCCATAAAATGGTATTAGAGACTCTTATACTGATTTTTTTTAATCTATCGACCCATCGATTTATTTGGAAATTTCGGACGGCTAAATATTTATCTGCATTATAACAGCAGTAATAGTTTTTATAAAGTTATTGCATTTTAGTATTTTTATAATTAAGTAATAAGATATATTATTTTACTCAATAGAGTAGATAAAGAATAGCAAAAAGAAGAATGTATAAGAAAGTTTTTAATATGTAAAAAAAAACCAGATAAATATAAGAAGAAAAATATTAAAGAAATATCAAAAAAATATAGTAAGAGAAAGATAAAAAAAGATAATAAGGTAAAGATAAAAATATAATAATAAAAAGAAAATTTTTTACTCTTCATATGTATAATCACTGTCACTATCACTATTATTATATAAGCTATCACTAAACTCTAAGCTAGATTCTGAAATATCAGAATAAGTTCTTCGTCTAGGAATAACTTGATTAGTAGAATTATCATCATTATCTAGGATTTATAAATTTATGAATTAATAAAG